TGAAGTGCTTTCGTTTCAAGGCGACGTCACCTCGCTCGTCCTTATCTCCAACGAGTACGCGCCGACGACGTTGGCGACCCCCTCGAACGAGCTCAAGCAAGCGACCAAGGTCTTCTACTACCTCTGTGTGTACACAAGCGTGCTCTTACTGCTCGTGGCGTCTCTCTGCACGTTTTACGGGGCGCTCAGCGGCTTTCACCTCGCGGGTCGCAACTTGTTCCGCTTCAACCGTGTCGTGGGCTCGGTCTGGATCGGCCGCCCGCTGCTCATCGTGCGCGGCGGCACCGCGATGCTGCTCCTCAGCACGGCCCAAGTGTCGTTGGTGGCAACGGGCCACGGCACGCGGTTCGCCTCAACGCCGCGCACACTCGTTGAGACAATCGTAGTCGCGGGCGAGGCGACGTGGATCACGTACGTCATCAACGACATTTTACTACTGGTGGTTCCTCAGCTGTCAGCCTACTACGCGCCAATCAGCAGCTGCGCGCTCTGGCTGGTGTACATTGTACTCGACGCGTTGTCGCCCGTCGAGCTCTCGGCGACGTTGCATCGGGCGTGCAGCAGCACGGATGTCGACTACTATATTTCGTGCACCAGCGGCCTCGTCGAAGTGGGCAGCACGGCTCGTATCACACTCTTACTATGGCTACAGCTGCTTGTGATTGGCCTCGCGCTGAGCGCTACGGCGCTCGTCGTGCACGTTCGTGGGTCGCTCGCCAGCAAAGACGACATGGCGTCAGACACGCCGTTTCTCATCTCGTCGGCGACCAACGCCTTCTTGACTACCATGGGCGACACCAACGTGTGGGCGATCGACCGCGTCGCATGCATCATGGCCGGCCTCGTGCCCTTTACGCTCCGCCGAAAACACTTTACGTTCGACCTCAAGTCGTGGCTCGTCGTCAAGGATACCGTGTCCGTGTACCAGTCGGGCAAGACAACGATGGTCGAGACGCCTCCGCTAGGGCACACCATCTCGTCCGGGTCGCTTTTGCTGCTCTCAAGTACCTCGCCCCTCGAGCGCCACAGCTGGGATCGGCCGCTGGCGCTCGCAGGACTTGTCTACATGACGGCAACCATCGTCGGGTCGCTCTCGTACATCAACGTCTCGGACGTCAATTTGGCCAATGATCTGTGGTGGGCGCACTTTAACAGCACGGGCGCCCACGCCTTCATCGCCAACTGGTACAACGAACAGCTCTATCTCAACGCGAGCTACGCGTCGTTTGCGCTCGATGCACCCAACATCTCGCACACGTCCTTGTATGGCGCGCCCGATATCTTTGTGACTACCGCCGCCAACTTTGGTTCGAGCCTCCAACACACGCAGCTGAATACGCTACCGGCCGTCATTGCGGGTCTGCGGACCATGGACGCCTGCACCCACGCGTCCTGGATCTTTACGCAATACTGCTTTCTCGACTTTCAACAGACGTGGCCCATGGCCAACTCGGCGCGGCGCCAAGAACGCTGTGCCAAGATGACGGCCAACGGCGCCGTGTACCTCGAGAGCCTCCTTCGCAACGTTGCTTGGGCCGATTGGCAGCCGTGCTGGGGCGCCGCGTTCCAGATTGCTTTCAGCAATGACCTCCAAACCTCTTTGAACGGCCAGCGCTGGCTCGCCCAAATCCAAGCGCCCAATTCCTTGACCATTGTGGACGAAGCCACCTACTGGCGCACGTTTGGTATCGCGACGTACGACGTTCAGTGGCAAAACTACAAAAAAGTCGGTCTCCTCAGCTCGTACAATGTCTGGTCAGCGTACAACAAGAAGGCGGCGTTGACGCTGCAGGCGCTCAACGGCTCGTACCAGTTCAGCGCACAGACGACGTTCAAGGCGTACTGGGCCCTCGCCAACGACTTTGCCGCCGTGACGTCCAACAGCAGCGGTGTCGGCGGCCTCTCGCTGCTGCGGTCCAGTGCCCGCTTCGCCTTTGGCAACACGTCGCTCGAGTCGGTGCTCATTGCCAACACGACGCTCTCGGCGCCGTTTGGCGCTGGTTTTAGCTTTGTCCAAAGCATCCTCGGACCCTTTGGCTCGATGGACATGCGCTACGTCCGTGCACCGGCGTCGGCCCAGCAGCTCCTTCTGCACGTCCTCGGCGCCCTGCGGAGCAGCGCCTTGCGCTCCAACCAGAGTCAGTCGGCGTATCTAAGCATTCACGTGCCCGACTCGATGTACCCCGTGCCGCAGCCGTGGCTTAGCGCCAAGCTCCTGTCGTACGGCGGGTCACCGCTCTGTCCCGAACTCGGTGCCTCAAGCGGGCTTGCAGTTACGACGGGCTTGGTCAGTCTGCTATCGTACAGTGCGCGCTGCTCGAGTGCGACGGGTGCGCAAGCAAAGATGACGCCGTCGCGAGAGCAGGTGGTCTTTGCTCTCGTGCTCTCTGGTATCACTGCTGCCAGTCCCATCACTGCCATCTGCGCGGCAGATACCAGCGGGTACAAGGCCTGTCCCGACTACCTACGTGGCGCCAGATCGTACCTCGACACGTATCTGCCTGCTGTCGACTGGGCACCCGAGGTGGCCGCCACCATCGCGGAGACGACGGCGCTCAACATTTCTCTGCTGCAGCTGACGCGCACCAACAAGACGTCGCCGCTTACGTGGTCGCAGCTTCCGCTCTTTAACCCGAGCGACACCCACTTTGCATTCTTTGCGTGGTGCTACATGGCCGAGTGGCTCCAAGGGTTTCGCGAAGTCGTGGCATTTGAGAATGACGTTGGCAGCGTCACGCTTCTAACCGACCA